TTAACCATTTACAGCTAGTATCAAAACTGTTACGAAACGAAATTTAGCCGGAGCTAGGTTTTTCATGAGGTAATGGTTCAATTAATATTTCTGGTTGTTTCATCTAGCGTAAAACATGAAAACTACTAGACTTTTGATTTTTTTATGTTAAACAACTTCATGGTGCTGCCATCTATGCGTGATTGAAAGCATCATATTCTATTAGTTGAAGGTCACAAAGTTGGGGGTGCAGGAATCAGAAAACTCTTGTTGCATTGAGGAAATACTGTGGTGTCAAGGCTAGGACTCAAGCCCTTGTTCTGTTGGTCATGGCACTGACAGATTAGATCTCTCGTCTATAAAACGCACCCATTTACTAGGATTAAGTGGCTTCATTATGTGAGCCTAGCTGGTGAGATAAAATTCTGGTTGGTTAACCTCATTAAATGAAAGCAGTTAATAATAATATAAGTTAAATTTTCTCACAGTTAACAGATTGAATACCATATTATTTATGGTTATTTGACTATTTTTTCTGAATATGGTAAAACAACATTTAAATAAATTGTTATTAACCCATTTTTCTTCGATATTTTTAACAGTGTATCTTTCAGTATCAGTGAATCGAGTTAACTTAAAATCTAGTTTAGTGAAATTCATAAAAATGTTATTTAACGTTTATCCATTCAATTCTTCAATTTTATTATGCCTCATACTATTTTAAACTACTTTGGAAATACCAAAATAACTATCTCTACCAGTATCCTATAAGCGGAAGACAAGTCTGATACTTGACATGATATTTGAAGGCTCATACTATTTGGAGAAAAACGTCTTTGATCAAAATACATTTAAAAAAAATAATCTATTGACATTTAAAACGTTAAAATTTTATTGTTTTAACTAAATACATTTATCACAAAAAATATCGTCTTTAATGATGATGTTATAATTACGTGAAATGACGTGTAGATTATTATAAAAATTAAAAAAAGAAACAAGTTTGAAAAGATTGAGATAGATTTTTCATGAAAGGTGCATTTTAGTCTTATTTATCTCTACAACATTCATTCTTTTTGTCAGGTTTTTTTTGTTGAAACTTTGGAAATCTTAGTGGATTTAAGTACAAATTTATAGTGGTAGAATGTTTTTTTGGAGTGAAAAAGTTTTTACGATCATTTTGTATGATACAATTGCTGAGTTACATTAGAAAACCTCTCTTTTGTCAACTTTCTTATGTTTAATTCTATGGATGGGCTTTAAAGTGTTCTGCATACTTAACGGCTTGAAGGCTAGAACATAAGTATGCAAATTATACAAAAGGTGAATGCTGTTTTTTTTCTTTACTTTCTTTTAGTTTTTTTTTCTTCTTTTTTTTACAGAATTTGCAATATTTATCTATAAAATTGGAATTGGCAGTAATCCGGAAATTTTTGTTAAGATAGTTTAGAACAGAGAGTGGTTGAATCACATAATATTAATTTAACCAAAATAATTGTAGTTACCTTAAATAATTTTTGATGTGGATTAATGATCAATGTGCTGATATGAAATTCTAATTATTTGCTGGGCACATTTTTACTATGCTTATTAAAATCTTTCGCATAAACACAGAGATCACAAGTTGTTTTCATTTTTAAAAAAAAATTCTAACAATTTTTACATGTTTAGTATATAATCATGTTACTTAAACTTTGTAATGTTTCGGATTTATGAGTCGTTTAAATATATACTCTTCTATATCATTGTCTCAAATATTAGTTCGCAATTTTTACCCATTTTGAAAATGAAAGTTGCTCGATAATTTTCATGTCCGTACACTTTGCAACTAGTCCAACTTCAACACCATAATGAAAAATAAAGTGCTATAAGAGTAATAAAAAATCGGGTAAGCATCAATAAAAAAAACAGCTCAAGATCAAATAAAAAAAAGTAGACGATAATTTTAAATTTTTGTAGTTGGTTGCTTTCTATAACAGATTTCTTATTTTTTTATTTTAACCTGCTTGAATATGATCTTAATTTGAAATATTTTTATGCCATTTTAATTACTAATTTATTCATAATTAATGTCATTCAATCAATTTCCGTTTGCACTATTCCTATTGGACGATTCGTATTCCTATATCAATAAAAATACGTTCCTATTGGTTGAATTTGTAACTGATTGATCGTTAATTGATTTCCCGTGGACAGGTAAGTAAAGTGACTTCAGCTTAGGCATCTCTATATTGGCCGAATAGAAGTGTATATTGAATTGAAAACCTACCTTGCCCATTGGACGACAGGGGGACAAACGGCAATTTTAGCAGTATGAAACATTTGAGTAATGGGTAACAAGTTAGCTTAATTTTATCCGTTTTGTAATTAATTGTTATTATGCTTTCAAATGTTATATTATACTACTTCAGAAAAAAATATTCAAATTTACATTCTATCAACATTTTTAAAATAAAACTTTAAGTTACGTAAATAAAATTTAAACAAAATTCCGATCAATTCGATTAGATTAACTTATTTACAGATAAATGTCGAAAAGGAAAAGCTGCAATGTAATCTGAACCAAATGTTCGGACTTACAGGAGCGTTAATGGACGTAACTCAAACTAGGATCGAAACAACTCAGCATAGCCCTTTGGCTACTTTTAAGCCAACGCGGCCAAAACTTTTGGCCAAAGTCTTTACATCTCAGAAACTGGAAATTCGGGATAGAGTAATTATATTCGGTTCTGACTTCTACGAGTATTTAATTGAGAAACCAGTGGCGAAAACCGTTCTCGGATTTCTCTTAAATTACTTAATTCCTTCTCGACTTGGTGAACCACCCCTGATTGTCTTGAAGGCAAAAGTCGCGTTCTCGAACTCTAATGGAAAAGTGATTGGAAGTTGGGAGATTCTGATGCAACGAAGGGGGGGGGATACGGGAATTAGAATATTCCGGAATATTGACTCCAGATAAGGGTAGTTGAAAAGGTATTATTTAGAGCTAGAAATAGCTTTTATGTAACTAAAACTAGGTGATTTGCTATTGTAGCAAAATAGTGTTCCATTTAAAATCAATAAGTAATAATGTTAAATTCTGTTTATCAGATTGAACAAGATAAAAAAAAAGGAGAAATAATTAAAAGAAGTAAAAGTTGAATATAAGAAAAAAAGAATAAATAAAAGAAAAAAAGAATAAATAAAAGAAAGAAGAAATAGATTATAATAGTCTAACTTACACTGTAAGAAATTTCTTGGAAAAATGGTTACATAAAAATTTTTCTAATTAATATTTTACCATATTCAAACAAAATAGTTATTAACTGCTTTTGTCGAAAACGGTTAAGCAATCAGAATTATCACACCAACTGAGCCACCTAATGAAGAGACTTAGTTCCTTGCAGATGAGTACGTATTATAGCCAAGAGAGATAATCTATCTATCTCATGTCCAGTTAAATTTAGTTTTTATGGTTTTTGAATCATGCTAGTTTTAATGGTTAAAAAACCGTATAGTTTTGTATTGGTATATATTTAACCATATTAGTTGTAAATGGTTTCAATACCGTGAAGGTAAAAAATGTTTTTTACCGTAAACTATACGGTTAATTTGATGGACAGACTGCTGTCGGTTATTTTACCATAAATTTAGAATGAAAATTTTAACAGTGTAAAAAAAAACTGAATGTATGTTTTTCTTAACATGTCGAATATGAAAAAACTGTTGTAGTTACAGTTAATTTTGACTAAGAATATAGATCTCAATTCCCAATTTCTAAAATTTTATTTCGAATTTTTTCATTGATGTCTTTAATTTTCACTAACATAAGAGACATATAAATTTAAATTCAAGAGTTAATTTAATGATTATAGATTTATAATATGATAAGTGAGAACCATAGATTATTTCCTTTTTAGTATTTTTGAATCTAACTTTATGAAACTCAGATATAATTTCTATCAATATCAGTTGTATTCCATGAATTAAACCGTAGCACACACTGATAAATTTTGCTTTAAAACCTTTAATGAATTGAATGTCAATAATCACAAAGGGTATTTTTTTTAAATGTGAAAGGAGTAGCACATAGTACATGTTAAACAATTAAGAAAACATTTAAAATTAAAGTTTATTTTTCAATGTTTTCATGCTACTATTTTTTGAATCTAATATGAGGTCAATGGAAATGAATGAAGAAGTTTTTAGCCATATTCACATAGTTAAATAATAAGAAAAAAATATTTCCAGTCATACTTTTCATCTGAAATTTGCGGAAAACTTTACTGAGTTTTTAGTTTTTTTATTATTATCATTTATTTTTCGCTTCGCTCTGAGAAATCTCACTTTTGACGATTCAGCTATTCCTGAGCTGTATTTCGTTAGTTTTGAGAATAGTTTTGTCCCTAAATCACATGATTTGTGAAGAAGCGCGCACTTTCAAATGTATGGCGAAAATGTATAATCAACTCTATACCTCGTCATAGTGTATTGTGAGAGGTTGTTAACTAGAATTACTAAAGTAGGATGGCGACCGAAATTAGACGACGAAAACTAGACGATCGAAATTAAGTGACGAAATATGCCAATCTCTATGGTGGAGTAGGAGTTGGTCTCGTACCTGGGAGATTACGGGTTTGAATCCCGTCACGGGGCTCTACGAGATTTTTTTTTTAGGAAAAACTAGATTGACGAAATATCTTTTTTAAGTTTGACGCGTTTCCTTGATAAAATGACGATAGTTATTTCGTCACATAGGCAAAATTTTTTACTGGGAGCATGTAACAAGAAACTGCTTCGTCAAAAACGTAGAAATTTTCCAGAAATTCGAGTACTCATTGTTTTACGGCGTTGTCAGCATGAAGTCAATTAAGGGTTCAAAGCATGCATTTTAATAAGCTTCTTAACTGTTAAGGCAGAAAATGTTAAGCATTGAATATATCACAAAACTTTAGAATTACTATGACATTTTATGCAAATCTTCACCCTAAATTGGAATAAATTCCTTTGAAAAAAAAACAAGTAATATGAGTGACTCTTACTTTTCATCGAACTCCTCATAATTGCTTCCATCATCCTGCATTGTTTCCATGGTCAACTTGACATATATCCCGTACTCTGTACATATCTAGAGGATAATATATGTATATATATATATATATATATCTAATCTAATCTACAAATCTAATTAAATCTTAGAAGAATTCGAACATGCTTATAAACTAATTTTCGTACACAATATGCTATGCATAGAAGTTTTCTTTTCTAACAAGTTATTAAATAGAAGGATTTTTAATATTTTGAAACAGTTTCTTATTGTTATTATAATTTATTGAGCTAACTTTCCTACACTTATGAAAATGTCTTTAAGAACCTTTTTCTTCACTAAACTCTTCAATTAGCAATTCTGTGTAAGTGAGCTGTTGGATGAATGAAATTTCTTTTTCTTTATTAACCCAACAGACCTTTGTAGGCCTGCAGGATCTTCTTCAAATCTATTTCCGTCAGTCTGATGTAATTTTGAAACGGAAGATAATTTTGCAGGATTTGACTGACAGCCTTACGGCCTATCTCAAGTCTAGAGACCAGAGCTTTTTTCTTCCTTTGATGCCCAATAATCACATGTCCTTCCTGGGAGGCTCTGCTACATAATCACTGTCATAGCTCAATGGATTCTAGGCACACGCAAACTTACTCACCTTGGTAAGCTGGTGCAGTCAGATGGATTATACTCATTAGAATATGGTATAAAAGAACTCTATAAGTGGGCATTATAAAGCAGAAGAAACTTTTTACAACAAATTCTATTTCTCATTCATTGGGATTATAAAATGTAAAGTTTAGAGAAAAGTGTGATATAGCAACAATAAGAAACATTCTTTTTCCCATTAAAAACCGTCATATTCAATCAACAGGCAGAAATAAACTATTAGTTTCAGTTGAATATAGTATATTTTATCGATTGAACACAGCTACTGAAATATTAGCCCTTTTTAGAATATCACTTACTACCATATCACAACTATCCTTTAAGAAAAGATAAAGCTTATTGATTAATTATTACCACGTAATAATGGATAAAACTGTGGAAAAAGATAGGCTGAGGCAAACAATTTTAATAATAGGATCAAACTTTCAAAGTTTGATTTATTGTTGTTTACTTGATTATCATACCACAAGAGGGCGACAGTAGATAACTATTACAATTTTTTTTTTCAATCCATTATTTTACCATAATTTTACTTAATAATGTTTTCTAATAACCTAAGTTATTTATTATATGTTTTTGCTTCTGGTTACATTACCATTAAAATACTTGTATTTTATTTTTTTAAGTGCCTAGAATGGCAATAAAAGACATCAAAAAATCAACTGGAAGATAAGTAAACTCCATTTTGGAATAGAATCAATAAAATATAATATTTTTCTAAATATCTATGAATGCCAATCAGAAGCATCAAGTACTGTTTTAGAATATTTGAAATAAAAACTCATTTTGGAATATCTTTTAAAATTTGCTTGAGGCTTCAATTTCCTAAATGTCTGCGGAAGTTATCTTGATGCTTTGAGCACTTTATAAGAAGATTCTAAAACAAAATCTATTTCGGTATAGACTTTAGAAATATATTAATTTTCTATGGATATATGAATGTAATTTAGATATCTTAATCAGATTATCAGAAGATTCTGAAGCAAAAATCATTTCAAAGCAGATTTAAAAATATATTCATTTCCAATATATCTATGAACGCCAATCAGAAACATCAAGCAGTCCATAAGAAAAATCTAAAGCAAAAACCACTTCTGAGCTGATTTTAAAATATATTGTTTTCCTATACATCTTATAATTACCAGAGACATAAAGCAGTCTATAAGAAAATTCTGAAGAAAAACAATTTCTAAACAGATTTTAAAATATATTTATTTCCAACATATCTATGAATGGCAATCAGAAGCATAAAGCTGTCTATAAGAAAAATCTAAAGCAAAAGCCATTTCAGAACTGATTTTAAAACATATTGTTTTCCTATACATCTTATAATTACCAGAGACATAAAGCAGTCTACAAGAAAATTGTAAAGAAAAAGAATTTGTAAACAGATTTCAAAATGTATTTATTTCCAACAGATCTATTAATGCCAATCAGAAGCATAAAGCTGTCTATAAGAAAAGTTTAGAGCAAAAACCATTTCAGAACTGATTTTAAAATATATTGTTTCCCTATGCATCTTATAATTATCAGAGACAGACATAAAGCAGTCTTTAAGAAAATTTTAAAGAAAAAAATTCTAAACAGATTTTAAAATGTATTTATTCTCTACATATTTATGAATGGCAATCAGAAACAAATCCATTTAGGAATAGATTTTAAATTATAAAGCAATCTCCTCTGCGTCTATGAATGCCGATTAGAAATATAAAGCACTCTATGAGAAGATAAGAAAGAAAAATTCATTTCTGAATAGATTTTAAAATATATTTATTTTCCAATTGTCTATGAATGCCAATCAGGGAACATAAAGCCCTCTATCGGAAGAATCGAAAGCAAACTCAATTTCTGGATAGATTTTGTCCTTCCGGAAATAGGAAAGAAAAAAAAAACTCTTACCTGGACAATTATTGGGCAAGAACCTCCTATTGTGTAAGTTCTTCCCTCCATGATGTAGGAGGGGGGAAATGATGTGTGGTCGTGGTGGAGGTGACATCTTCTTCATGTCAGAGAGCAGTGGCATCATGACACCACCCATGGAATCCAGGGGATTCGGTGATGTTGGCAATATGGGAGTTATACTGCTGCAGAGATTGCTTTCTCCTGATGGACCCCTCACATCAAAACTTTGAAAAGAAAAACTACAATTAATTAATATATCAGATTTAGATTTAAAATAATTAGTCTAAACTATTTGGAAGTAATTATCACCTTCTAATAAGAATATAGGTTAAGCATAAATTGTCTAAACTATTTGGACACAATTTTATCTTCTAATAATAATATTGTTTAAACATAAATGGCCCAAACTATTTGGATATCTTCTAACAAGAATACAGTATAAAAATAAATGGTATAAAAATAAATCTATTTGACTGTAACTAATACTTTCGAATTATAACAATCGAATATAATTTAAACATAAGCGGTCTAAGCTATTTGGATGTCATTAACATCTAATAACAATACAGTTTAAACATAAATGGTCAAAATTACATGGTTAATTAACATATTCTTATTCGAAGATGTTATGTCGAAGAATATGGTAGATATGGTTTGGACTAGGGATGTACCAAGTACCTGGCTATTACCTGGTTATCGGGCTAACCGGTCAGATATTTATAACCTGGCTATTACTCTAAACTAGCGATAGTCAGAACCGGTCAGCGTTAGTCAGATTTTCAGTTTCAAGACACGGTACAGAGTACCCGGAGAATATTACCGGCTTTCTGGTCCCACGTAACACTTGCTTATGTTCGTAAGAATCATATTCACATTTACAGTAACCTAAAAACTATTCATAAGTAATAATTGCAGTTTTTGAAATCCATGTATTCCATCACTTTTTTCATAAAAAAATCAAATAATGGATTTAGGCACTACATACTTTGCTCTTATGGGGATATTTACTCAGGGAAACCTTGGTAAAGTGAAATATGTTCGCTAAAGTGAGGTTTCAACTTAAATGCAAATTCAGGAACATGATACTGAAGACTTTTTTTTAACTAAATTAATGTTAGACTATTTTAAATAAAGATGTTTTTCAATACTAATGTTCTACTTCGTAGCCTTGTAATTCTGAACCCAATTCAGAAGACAAGAGAACTAAAGAGAATTTGATCCATCAAATATTAAGAGAAATTTGTTGTGCAGGACTTTTTGCTGGAACTTTTTGTGTTTCTTAATCTTTAGCGTTCCACAGAGGACTGATTTTAAGACACGGTTCTCAGCAGATCACCGAAATTAAGCATCACTTGCAACGGTCAGTGAGTGACAAATTTAAGTGACAAATTTAATCAGTCAGCGAAGGGACTGAGGGTCTGTGATATCGGTTCTTGTTAAATTGTTCCACTATTAAATATTCGCAGTTAGTCAGGTTACTAAAACAGGGGTGTCATATCCTTTTCAAAGGATCAAAATTGTGATGGCATGATTTCGGATCATCCTTAAGGAAGTTTCATAAACCGTCGCTAATATGCTTACATTATTAATATAACTTATCCGTATTATGCATTAAAAAGTTTTCGATTTTATTTTCCCTTTTATTTTACTTCAAAGTTTCTTTTCCCACAGAAAACATTCAATCTTTCTAATGCCAATAGTAATGTATAAAACTCGACTTCCTTTTCACACTGTTAATCAAATTTTTATCAAATTTTTAATAGTATTTCATGCATTCAACACCAATTTTATGTATTCTACACCACTCGTGATTTATACTACTAGAACTTACACTTAGGTTTATTAATTAGATTAAAGAAAATATATATTTTTAGCCATATTTAAAATAATTGTAAAATATTCTGAAAATCTAGATCCTTTGAAATAAAGCACCGAATATTTAAAAATTTAATCTTATTTAAAATGTAAATTAAAAAAAATATGCTAAAACAGAAATTAATGATAAGTTTCATTTCTTGAAGNCAATCAGAAGCATAAAGCTGTCTATAAGAAAAGTTTAGAGCAAAAACCATTTCAGAACTGATTTTAAAATATATTGTTTCCCTATGCATCTTATAATTATCAGAGACAGACATAAAGCAGTCTTTAAGAAAATTTTAAAGAAAAAAATTCTAAACAGATTTTAAAATGTATTTATTCTCTACATATTTATGAATGGCAATCAGAAACAAATCCATTTAGGAATAGATTTTAAATTATAAAGCAATCTCCTCTGCGTCTATGAATGCCGATTAGAAATATAAAGCACTCTATGAGAAGATAAGAAAGAAAAATTCATTTCTGAATAGATTTTAAAATATATTTATTTTCCAATTGTCTATGAATGCCAATCAGGGAACATAAAGCCCTCTATCGGAAGAATCGAAAGCAAACTCAATTTCTGGATAGATTTTGTCCTTCCGGAAATAGGAAAGAAAAAAAAAACTCTTACCTGGACAATTATTGGGCAAGAACCTCCTATTGTGTAAGTTCTTCCCTCCATGATGTAGGAGGGGGGAAATGATGTGTGGTCGTGGTGGAGGTGACATCTTCTTCATGTCAGAGAGCAGTGGCATCATGACACCACCCATGGAATCCAGGGGATTTGGTGATGTTGGCAATATGGGAGTTATACTGCTGCAGAGATTGCTTTCTCCTGATGGACCCCTCACATCAAAACTTTGAAAAGAAAAACTACAATTAATTAATATATCAGATTCAGATTTAAAATAAATAGTCTAAACTATTTGGATGTAATTATCATCTTCTAATAAGAATATAGTTTAAGCATAAATAGTCTAAACTATTTGGATGTAATTAACATATAATAATATACTTTAAACATAAATAGTCTAAACTATTTGGATGTAATTAACATCTTCTAATAAGAATATAGTTTAAACATAAATGGTCTGAATTACATAGTTAATTAACATCTTCATATTCGAAGATGTTATGATGAAGAATATGGTAGACATGGTTCAGACTAGGAATGTACCGAGTACCCGGCTATCGGGTACCTGGTTATCGGGCTAACCGGTCTGATTTTTATGACCTAGCCATTATTTTGAACTAGCAATAGTCAGAATCTGATTTTTAGTTTCTACACTCAGTACAGAGTAACTGATGGAGAATATTACCGGTTTTATAGTCCCTGGTAAAACTTGTTTATGATCGTAAGAATCATATTCACGTTTACAGTAACCATAAAACTATTCATAAGTAATAGTTGCAGTTTTGGAAATCCACGTATTGCATCACTTTTTTGATTTAAAAAAAAAACTGAAATAAAGGATTTAGGCGCGACATATTTTGCTTTTGTGTGGATAGTTACTCAGGGAAACCTTGGTGAAGTGAAATATGTTCGATAAAGTGAGGTTTCAACTTAAATGCAAAATTCAGGAACATGATACTGAAGACTATTTTAACTAAAGTTTTTTTTTAATACTACTTCGTAGCCTTGTAATTTTGAACCCAATTCAGAATACAAGAGAACTCCTGGATAAAATATTGAGAGAAATTTGTTGTGCAGGACTTTTTGATGGAACTTTTCACGTTTCTTAAACTTTAGCTTTCCACTGAGGACTGATTTTAGGACACGGTTCTCAGTAGATCACCGAAATTAAGCATCACTTGCAACGGTCAGTGAGTAGATGAGTGACCAATTTCATCAGTCTTCGAAGGGACTGAGGGTCTGTGATATCGGTTCTTGTTAAATTGTTCTACTGTAAAATATTCGCAGTTAGTTAGGTTACTAAAAGGGGGGAGCCATCACCTTTTCAAAGGATCAAAATTGTGATGGCATGATTTCGGATCATAATCAAGGAAGTTTCATAAACCATCGATAATATGCTTACATTATTAATATAAGTACATTATTAATATAACTTTTTCGTATTATGCATTAAAAAATTTTCGATTTCATTTTCACCTTTATTTTACTTCAAAATTTCCTTTCGAGCAGAAAACATTCAATCTTTCTAATACCAATAGTAATGTATAAAACTCGACTTCCTTTTCACACTGTTAATCATATTTTTATCAAATTTTTAATAGTATTTCGTGTATTCAACACCAATTTTATGTATTCTACACCACCCGTAATTTATACTACTAGAACTTACTCTTAGGTTTATTAATTGGATTAAAGAAAATATATATTTTTATCCCTATATAAAATAATTATTAAATATTCTGAAAATCTAGATCCTTTGAAATAAAGCACCGAATATTTAAAAATTTAATCTTATTTAACTTGTAAATTAAAATAAAAATATGCTAAAACAGAAATTAATGATAAGTTTCATTTTTTGAAACAAAATAATCATGATTTCTAAAAATAATAAATAAAAAAAATTGAATTTTTCCTCCTTGTCTTTGAAGATTTTACTTTTCAATATGTTGACATAAAAACATAAATTAGTCGATTAAAGTTAAATCAATTATAATTTGTTTACACTAAATCTAAAATAAAAGAAATTAAAATTATACATAATCGTCAGCATGGATTATGCACTGTTGAGTTTAATACAAGAAAAAGTTAAAAAAGAGCAGAAAATAATTTAATTTAAAAGAAGGAAAAAAAGCAAAAATTACTTACTTTTGTCTTTCGTCAATGTCTGGTTTATCGATTGCTGTAACAAAAGAAGATTAAAATCAGTTTAATTAAATTTATTTTACATTTATTCAAACAAAAGTAACGAGACAAACGAAAGTAATAAAAAGTCATTTTTAAAGTAAAATCTGGTAGTGGTTTACTCATTATTTTTTTTAAAAAAACAATTCTACTTAAATTAGATTTTTTAAGCTTTCTTGAGTTCAATTTCAAGCATTCTTTCTAGAATTTTTGAACTTTCAGATTATTCAATGTTGAAAAAAAAAACAATGATACAATGTAAGGTATTTAAATTTTTTTCATGATTGATGGCAGTTACACATTATTCAGTGTTAAAAAAAAAACAAATTTTATATAATATAAGGCATTTAAATTTCGCAAGTGACTACAGTTACAGATTATTCAGTGTTAAAAAAAGCAATGTTAAATAAAATAAGGCATTCAAACTTTGTTCGTAAATGGCAACAAAAAAAAACGTCATAAATATAGTCTGCATTTATTAATTAGTATATTTGAGGTCACCTTCTCAAGACATTAAGCTTGAAACCTCTAACGTGAATATCCAATCATTAGATCAAAAGTTATTCAGGGTGGTCCATTTTTTATTTTGCGCACTGTACAATAAATCTATGCTTAAACTTAAGAATTTTTACGATAAATCTATAACTAAATTTCAACAATTTTCCGATAAATCTAAAACTAATCTTCGATATTAATGGTAAAACAGTAAACAAGATATCTTACAATACGCATGAAATTTTTAATAATTTAATTTTTGTATTTAATCAAAACCTTTATTAATCACTCGAGAAATCGAGCCATTAAAATAACAGGAAAAACACTAAAATATTCCAGAAAAATCAAATATGTTGCAGAGAAAAATTTTAAATCTAAGAACGAACATTTTACATAGTTTACATCCTGTATGCGTCTTTTAGGAAACCTTCATATACCGTTTCAATAGAAATTCGCAGAATAGTTTGATATGCATTTAAAGCGAAAATTTTAGCAAGAACCTAGAATTTCAAAGGAGCACCAAACTCCATTGTCACCAATGCGCAAACTAGTTTCAAACTATTTTTTTTTCTCAAAACTCCAATATCTACTTCAAGTTCTGGTGAAAATATATAAGTGAATCGATAAATAATATTTCAAAACGATGGCAAAAGTGAAATTCCGCCTGCAGAAATTTCTATTATTTTCAGAGACGAAAAAAGTTCTTTTTTCACTTCGGCAAAAACTCTATTAGAATCTTCAACACATTCCAATTCACACCTGATGTTTAGCAAGGGAAAGCAGATGCTGCTATAAAAACCATTTATAGAAAAACACTAAAGATCTTAAAAAAAGATGAAAAAAAAAAAGAGAAAAAATGACTTTTTCAAGTTTCTGCCTCTGATTTGCCGCAGGACATCAGCGTCTTTATATCAGATTTTTTTCTTCATCTGAAACTTCACTCTTTTTTGTTGTTGTTGTTACTTTGATCAAATTAGAAGAAATGCATTTTTCTTTTAATAACTTAGGTTTCCTTCCAGTCTATTGTATTCAAATCTCAAATTTTATTAGAATAATCTCTCAAGTCTTTGCTCAAATTTTTTCTCATTTTCGTTTTCGAACAATGGTATAAGGAGTCTCAAGAGTGGTTTAGATCAGAATTTAAAGTGTTTTTTTAAAAAAAAGCATAATTGTTTTAAAATTTATACTGATTAATCTGTCACCAAAATTTCGATAATACCACAAAAGCTTCCTGAGTTATTTTTTTCCAAAACCTCTGTTCACTGATTTTAACCAATTTTTCAAATTTTAGATTAATTTTTCTTAAAATTAGTATTTTGATCTTGCGAACGAGATATTTTCAGTGGTAAATACTTAAATTATGATAGGTTTATTTGATTACAAGTTCGAAATCGAGTAATGTTTTAATCACAATTTGATTAATAAACGATAATTTTCTTGAAAATATAATTTTTTGAAATTAAAAAAGTAAAAAAATCTATTTATACTTATTTTCATAGCATATCTATAACTTAAATTCGATCACAAGATAAAACTGTAAAAAATTCTCGATCAAATTCCGGTAAAATTTATTGACACCCAAAGTGCCTTTTACCAGAACCTGTCACGAAACCAAAACTCTCATATACTGTAATTTTTACAGTAATAAATACCGATAAAAACATAAATCACTCTAATTAAATAAATATTACTGTATAATATTTAACGTTAAAATGGATTTTACCTTAAAATGGTTTTACTATTTACCATAATTTTATTTAGAATTTTTTACAGTGTACCATAACTTAGAGAACTTTTTCGTTTTGGAAAGTTCCACTAGTTGGTTAGCGAAAATAAAAAAAAATTATTGACATCCAGTGTAGAACAGAATTGGAACATTTATAAATAAAACTAGTAAAATTTTACTATTATGAAGACCAGTAATTGTTACTCTGCTTTATAATAGTAAAATAATATATTATAAACTAGCTGAATACCCGTTCTTTGCACTGGTTGGAAAAAAGTAAACAATAAATAAAATCGGTCTTAATAAACATTACGAAATCATGCACAAAGCTGAAAATCATATTTCGACACAATTAACTAGGCTGAAACATGTCCAATTTTTTTATTTATTATTTTTATCCTTCCTGGACCCCGTTCAAAAAATACTATAATCGGTAATTAACTCTGGTACTTTTTTTTTTCATTGGGCAGTAAAAAACATATTTCCGCAATGCCTATACTAGGTATCTTGGTATCAGCATCAGTATATTTAGTACATATTAAAAAACACCAAGCGACACTATTGATAAAAACAACATCTACTACCAAAATTACTTACGCATTATTGGTGTCAATGATGCGTGAGTAATTTTGGTAGCAGATACTGGCGTATGGCAATTTTTCACGGTTTTCATGTACGAATAAGTACCTCTTCTCCATTAAATTGAACACGAAATTAATTTTTTGAACTCCAATTTGAACCGATTACATAAATAAATTAATTTAAAGTCTCGAAAATAATCAGTAGCGACACGAATATTTTTAAATGAATTTTGGCTATTTAATATTGATATTATTTTCGAAGACCATAAAAATTCGCCAAACTGTCATCAATGACAGTGGTGCTGTTATAAATACCAATGGTGTTGCGCTTATAGGTGCCGGGGTAATGAGAACCAATTATATCAATATAGGTGCCTTATACAGTTATTGTGGTAACAGGTTTCTTACCACTCTCCTAAAAGGATAAATATTTCAATATTACCACATTTACACATTAATGTACTAAATGCATAACATTTATTTATATATTTTCTTTTGGTGTACACTCCGTGTTGATTTACCATAATATGAGGTTTATGCTCAACTCATCAGAATAAAGATTTATTTGTATATCGTAATACTTAACCTGAGATAATAAAAATTTACCACTACTTTACCTATTGCATATAAGATAATTAATTTTGTTAGTTCCTGTTGAGTTTAGCATTTTTTTTGTCACTTAAAATGATCGAGACACGTTTTAAAAGCTCTATTTTCAATGTAAGAAACACGTAGTTTCAAATACGAATTCAAACACGAATTCGGAGACGTTATCATTATTTTTTTACTTTATTTCCAATGAGCGGCACAATCGGTCTTGCCGATGAGCAGAGCTAGTGCGTTCTCCATAGGTGGAATCCATTCTTTTAGGACCACCAAAATGGGTGAGATACCGTTGGTCATGGTAATTTAGCCGTCTAGTTTTACGTTATCATTATATTTCGAGAAATTATAAACGTTGATTTCATATTTCTCATTCAGATAGAGTCTCGAATGTATATACCGCAATCAAGACGCGGATAGGTTTAGAATTGAGGATTTATAGAGGGTCCCTATGTACACACTTATAAACATTCTGCTTTATTTATATAGTCATGTTGTACTCTATTACAATAAAGTTGTTTTGATGGGTAATGAGATTTCGGCAAAATGACACCCTTTTATTTATTTAAAATTCTTTACAAATTCATTAAAATAAACCCAAAAAATAACAAAAAGACTACTTTTATTTCTTTACAGAAACAATTAATTAAAAAGAAACGTAATTATATGTCGATAATTGCTAAGGCTGGCATGTAGAAGGGTATTGTAATAATATTTAAGTACCTAACTCCGTATTTGAGAACTTAATGCAAATGCCTAGAAACACGTAGAATTAAAAGTTCCAAGTAACAAATTATAGTAATTTGATGGTAATTACATAGTTTCCTCTCAGATATTATTAAATAGCTTACAATTCTCATTCTTTATCATCGACACGTCTCTGATTAAAGTTGGCTCTTATACGCTATTCTGTAGATTACTCTCTTAATATTTAATTCTATTTTTATCTCTGAAACGTGTAATTGTCTCAGCAACCCCATCCTTATCATTTACCAACAAAAAGAATAAAAACGCAAAATAATATTTACTTTAAATTATATTTCACTGGAATATTAAAAGAGGTAAAATTCTTTTGCTTCTTTCGGATCCATTACTTGCTTTGAAAAAGAACTATTCCAAGCGTTCGCTTTTAATGATCGCAGACGACTTTACGCAATGTATATCAACGAAATGAAATGAAATGAGCAGAAAAGGAAAATAACTAGCAAAGCAGTGCTATCCATTTCTGAAGAAAAACGAGGGCAAAATGTTCCAAACAAGAATATATTCCTTCTTTGCCATAAAAGTTAGACTTTAGTTTTTAAATGTCGCTGAATAGAAAGAAATAGAACGTTGCGCAGTTTCGAATGTCATTATATTTGTGGAGCCCTATTAAAAATCTTTGCTTTCGCTAGATATTCGCAATTATAATAATAGTATGACCTGTGTTTTCATTTCTTTTTTTCTTTATTTACAATTTAGAATTTATGTTTTTCATTCTTAATGTAAATGAATTCGGAAATGGATATTTAAAATATACTTGAAGTGAAATGAAATGAAAACTTTACCCCTGGCGATGCTTTAGAAAACATTTTCCGAGCTTTGAAAGGAGAC